CCAGCCTGTCCCATCTGCAATTTCTTCTTGCATATGTTTGGTAAGTATACGGAGTTATTGGTCATCATCCGATGTCAGTTTAAGTTCTACTTGATAAAGTGGAGTGTTATTGTCAATTTGTGTAATTTCACCGATACGAAAGACTGTGTGCATAGAGAAAAGAATTTTTTCTTCTGTCTTGAAATAACTGGATTCTTGGATAGCAGCGAATGGAGCAGATGGTGCTGAAGGATCAAGGGACATTTGAAAGAGAATGCCGACCATGTCCATTTTTGTTAAGGCGTTTTGAGCGAAATCGAGAGAAACTTCTCGTTTTGTACTGGTGAATAGGAAGTTGTTAAAAGACATAAGGCCACCTTTTGTTTTACAAAGTTTCTGAAAATCTTTGGTCGATAGATCTTGTCCCGATAAACTGTAAAGGGCTCGCCTTTGTAACTACTGACTTGTTTCTTATGTAATTGTTCGATTTGACAGTGAAGATCACGAACAAAAAAGCCCATATTTAGGATCGTCTCCGCCTCTAGCATACGTAAGGCACCGTTAAGCATTGAATAGATGAACGATGGGAAAGTATACCACCAAATTGTTAAGTGAGCATGATATTCGTTCTCAAATCGAGTAATATTGGTTGATGACCCGTAGTCACCGTTTCGGCAGTAAGCGGTGAAGTCCTTGATAGCTTGTTGGCTATGTTCCATTTCAAGGAGAATTTTCTTGAATATTTGGGTGTACATAAATGTGGGCTCCAGTTGATTTAAATCTTGACTGGAAGCCCCTTCATTTACCGGGATAAAGCTTACGGAGATGGCATCTTGATTGCATTGTTTGACAGTCATTTTCAATGCTTCGCAAATGAGTGTAATTGAGGTATGTACACCCTTCACCTTAGCCCATTCTTTGGGCCATTGCTCATGTAGACCTTTAGTGTCACAGAGTACGTAAATGCCACCGAGTTGAGGGATATCATGGATAAGAGGCACTATTTCTTGACCAATTGTTGCCCCTACTATTAGGAACGCTTTGATATCATCGATGTCAGTGAGAAAATCGATACATTGATCTCGTTCGGTAAATATATTAACATCGTTGACGATGGTTCTTAAGTGTGTCAATGTATTTTGAGAATCCTTGTTTGATTGATCAATATCAGTGTCTATCCAGATCAACAAATAGTTCTGGGCAATTCGCCTATGAGGATTGATAGTACTTGCTGCTGTTATTGTTGTAAGGGCAACTGCTGATGCTCTAGTAATGTTTTCTTTTGATTTTTGTGCACTCATATTCCGTTGAATGATTAGTTGATTGCTAATGTGAAATTATGTGTAGCTGACTGTTGTGTAACCAGAGAGAGTCCCATCATCGATTTATATAGTCGATGACTCATTTCTTCTGGATTTGTTTGCTCTGCAAAATATTTTTTTTTCGTTGACACTCAAGGACGAACTTCGCCTAGTTTCTATTGGAAATTCTGTTAGGAAGAATAAGACAGAAAAACAAAAAGAAGTCGTTAGTACCGTTCGAAGGAATGATCAAAAAGTCGACAGCATATTTTTGTATTGCTATTCTTTCCAATTTTCTTTTGCTTTTATCTCCACGATTGCTGTGGTGTCACTGCATGAAGTTTGGTCTGGCATTGAATGAGTTTCGAAAGACAACACGACTTATTTTTTATTTTTCATCAATTTTTTTTACGTGTCTCTCCTCTCTTTGCCACGTATGTGGTTGACGCTTAGATATCGAAGTTTGCTACAATAAGAAGAAAAAAGAACGTTATTTAAATTTCTTTTTTGTATCGTACGTGCTATTGACGTCGTTGACAATGAATGAAAAAGAATAGATTGATTTTGATTGAAGTAATATTGAAAGATCTTTTGTAACTTGTCAAATATGTTGCTAATAACTCAAGGGGGAAACATCTGAATGCCTGTCATTAGTATTCAGTATTCAAAGGTATCCACAGGTATTCACTAGTATTGACAGGTATTCAATGGTATTTACAGGTATTCATAGGTATTCACAGGTATTCACGGGTATTCAAGTATTCAGATGTTTTCTCCTTGTAATAACTACATTAAGGAATGATTTAAATAAAAATCGCTATTTTCATTGTAAGTAAGAGCATTATTACAAATGTTTGACAAACCTCGATTTAAATTGATGAAAGAAAAGTTGAATGCGTAAAGGAAAGTCTTACATTGGCCATACGTACATCGCTAAGACTGTTCCTAATAAATGTGTTTTAATAGAATAAAACATAAGGAAGAACGTTTTAAACAAAGCAGAAAAGAAGCTTCTGAATCCTAAGGTCCTAATAAATCTGAGGATGAAACAGCAAATGCTTCGGTTCTGAAGTCACATGAATTTTCCTGAAAATTTAAAAATGTCTTTAGTTTCTTGTACACTCACAAGAAAATAAAATGTTTCAGATGTGGTTTAAGTTATTTTAAAAACAGAACACGAGAAAGAAGGAGTGATACAAAGATGCTCTCAAGCCCTACAGATAGATGATATCCTTGATATTTAACAATTGTTCAATCTGCAGAAAAAAGAACAAGACCGTTTGAACTCAAAAAGCGTTGTAGTTAGTATTTAAATACTGTTTCAAGAAAGATGTTCACCTCTAGAGTGCAATGTTCCATTAATTTAATGTAAATGCTATGAAGAATTTTATTCCTTTTTCTGTTTACTTTTAGCAGTCGCGACAGTTTATACGCTGAAAAACAACTAGTTTTGCCTGTCAATATTCGATAAGCCTTTTTGCTTATACATGAATTTAATGTAAATAAAATATCAAATATAAATTAAAAACAGCTTATATCTTTTATTTAACACGTGATATTTCGGTATCTATTTCACAGACACCATCATCAGACGATGACCGCTTTAGATTGGGTTTAGGTAGGTAGAGTATGTGTGTTGAACGAGTGAAGAGATTGACGTGTACACCAAAAGAAGGTGTTCGGAGAGATGGATGATGACATTCCGTGCGCGGTATGTGTTTTTTAGTAAGTGTAAAATGAAGTTGGAAGTAGAAGTAGAATTGAATTTTTTGATTTTATCTTTTGAGTTCCTGTACTTAGGGGTTATTGGCATAGGTCGGAGCTCAATGTGTGTAGTTAGTGGTTTGAGTAGAGATAATGTGGAAGTGGAAGTGTGCGCATCTAGATGTTTAGTTGGAGGGAGGCATGAGCTTGTGTGAATGTGTTTTTGATGTTGAATCAATGACTGATACCATTTCGTTCTTTGTGTGTATTAGTCCTGATATAGATGGAAGCGTATACTCTGTGTGAGTTAGTCACGATTCGTAATAGGGATGGACGTATCAGAAGTTTGTCATTGTTTTTGTTTTGTTTTATTGTTTCGTTCTATTCCATCGGCGTAAATGTATAATGGAATTGATCTAATGCCTTTATTGAGTTGTGGTATTTTTTGTTTTATTAGTAGAGACTCTTTAATTGATAGTTTATATTTATATCTCTCTTTTAGTCGAATATTGAAGTTATCATTAGTAAATGTATGACCTGCTCTATAGAAATGTTTGGCTATGGCGGTTTTAGGAGTAGGTAGTTTTGTATTTTTTTGTATTATTTCAGAATTTTTTAGAAATTTTACAATTTCTTGTTGAATGTATTGAGCTGGTAAAGGTAGTAATTTTCCTGTTTTTGACCTAGTAATCGGTCCTTTACGTTCGACAGATGTTTTAATCGTTGAGCTGGTTCGTTTTAGGGCATGTTTTGAATTACTAGTTCTTTTTAAACATAAGTCTTGTTTTTGATAATTAAGATGCTCATGTACACGAATTTTAAAATGTCGACAAGTTTTACCGATGTTATGAGCTGTGCATTCAGGACAAATGGCTTCATAAACAACTCCTGCTTGCATCTGATCGGGAATCGGATCTTTCAAAGTAAAACCGCTTCCGACACGTTCTTTCACGTCATATATAAGTCTAATTTTTTTTAGTGGGTAGTTCTTATTAGTAGCGGAGATAATCCGTTTTGCGTACACTTGACTTAGTGGTCCAAAATAAGGTACGCGAAGAACAACAGTATCAGTAGTGGGTGATTGTGCTGATGTAAGAGTAGAAGGAGTATATATAAGATGAATTTGACGTCTAATAATGGAATTTATGACCGAATTAGGATACCCGTTATTGATTGCTAATGATCGAATAAATTCAAATTCACGATGTAGACCTGCATTTGACGAACAGATTTTTATAGCTCTATATACCTTTGTTGATAGTGCGTTATACTTATAAGTTTTTGGCACAAAACTATCCCATTTAGTGGTAAGACTAGTGAATGTAGGTTTTCGATCATTAGCAATCAATAACGGGTATCCTAATTCGGTCATA